CGCCAAAACGTCGGAAAGAGCGACCTCTGTTCGCGCTCTTCCTCTCTCAGATAACTTGGGAGATCCGTAAGTCTGAATGAATCATTCAATCTGATTTAACGGTTTTGCAGCGGCACAGATGAATACCCAGAATTTGCGGAATATAATGTGTTGAGCACTATGAGCCGTCTCGAAAGCCTCGAGTTCGAGGTCTCTTCATTTGATGATCGATACATGTGCATCCTGCGCCACTGCACCTTCCCTGGCCTCTCCGACTTCAAATACATCGCACCAGTCTCAACGCGCCCACTGATTGAAGATTTCCTGAGAAGACACCCGCACATCTCCCGTCTGATCATCGGCGGCCTGGACACTCCAGCACCAGGCCCACCCACACCGCCCAAGCCGGTCCCGAAACTGCGATACTACGTCGGACCCACCACTTTTATGGATTTTTTTCCCCACAGGGACCAAGTAGATTCTTCTGCTGTGGACGGCGGAACACCCTTCCATCGATGCTACCTTGTCGAAGCTTGCGCCGCTCACGTCCGAAGGCGCGCAGCTAATTTTCAGCAGCCTGTACATCCGGAACCCCAGTGGCGCGATCTTCGCGTCGCTCGCGCGGCATCTTCCACACACCGAGTGTGTGCAGCTCCGCTCTGTCGCCAACCAGACGCGCCGTCTCGAGCCGGTGCGTGCTGCCCGAATCAATGCGTATTTAAGTGCCGCAATATTCAAGCGAATACTTTTGTGGAGGCATACCTCGGAGAGGTGTCGCGGCGACTTCACCGGTTTACCAGACTGCGCTATCTCGCACCCGAATTTCTTTTGCTGTTGGACCCGGCGCGGAAGCTAACCCCCGCGGACGAGGAGGGCGAGTTTTATGCCGCTGATCGGTCCACGGTAGAACAATGGGGTCAGCGACTGCCCAACGCTCAGGGAATGCCGCTTCCGTACGTAGCTTCACCCACTTGTGTGGTGTTGTATGGGGCAGAAATTAACGCATTCGTGTGGCAGATGGGAACGCTTGGCGTCTGCTTGAGGACCGGTGGACCCAGTCACAGAGTGGGATCTGCAGGAGTTGGGCCATCGTAAATATTAAGCACGGCTGTTGCTTCATCGGTGAATATAATGATACATTTACCTGTATCGACGGATAGGATACCTGTTGGTAGCGACCGGCGACCACCCGAGACGTGTCACTATAACCTGAACTCTTCGAGGGACCACAATATCAGTCAATCTCGAATAGGCTATGCAATGCATTCTGTCCAGTTCCCGGAGGCGTGCGAGCACCGTGTTTCATCTTGTGCAACGGGTTCGTTGGACAGACTCGGGACTGACATTAAGCGCAGGACCTTCCAAACAAAACCCAACCAAAATCGGCTGCGGGATCATTGACATGCATTCATTGCACGAGGGCTGCCAACAATGTGTTCGAAAATATTAGTATTTGTCCTATTTACCTAAGTGGGTGAACTAGATACATCCTGATCTATATATATATGGAATGGCGTGTAGTCGAGTCCTTGAAAGGATAATAAATAAGAAAACAAGGAGCGGATCAGGCGGGGCCTGGGAACTGCACCGACGTGCACTTCTGTCCACCGTCTGGACAATGAGGTATGAGTGTCTCATGCGCCCCAGCTGAAGATTTTCGAGGTTAGCATCCATTTATTGCGGGAATGAGGTAACCCACCATCGGTAGTGAGTGAAGGGAAGGGGTCTTTGCAGGTGAGCTGGAGGTCTTTTGCAGACTTGGTCGCGGGAAAGCTGGCAGAATGAGCTTGAGAGGGGATGCGGAGTACAATTGATTATATTCACCTTGCGGATTTGACCTTCGTCTTCACCGTTGCGGGGACGACGTCGGAGCAGTCGATCAGCTTGGAACGCTTTTGACCGAGCACCGCCAGCTTGGCCATAGCCGCCTTAAAGCTCGCCGCCATGTGGTCCTGCTTGTCTGCGGCCAGATAAATAATTGACCCATCAAACGGTGGAGAATGACACTCACTGACGAATCCCTGCCAGTAACATGCCGTGCGGGAATCTCGAGCAATAGCAAAGTCGGACTGTAGGCGGAGCTCGCCTGCGTCGTTGCCTTTGCTGAGCGGGAGAGGTGATTTAACCTCGCCTGTGTTGTTTCGGCTTCCTGGGAAACCTTCGCCCTTGAGCAGGACTTCCAGGAAAACCTGTGTATCGTAGACAAAGGGCGTAGAGTCAAATGGTGCTGCGTCGATCTTCTCGTCTACATGATCCGCACGGGCGATTGAGTGCGCGGATAGCAGGGCGACGACTTCGAAGGCAGAGAAGTTGCCCGCATCGGCGAATCGATTGAGAATCTTTGTGACACTGTCTTCTGGTCTCTACCAGACTGGAGGTCAGTGAACTACCGAGAGAAGAGATAACATACTACGTACAGGAATTAAACCGTCCACGGCGGGGAACGTTTTATTGGGACGGCCTGCCAAAAATTCGAGCCGTGGAGCACCCTATCGAGGGCATAAGGGTTTTGAACGCGAAAGCAGAGAATACACATACAGGGCAGTTACTGAGGGCTACAGCACTGGCAAACTGAACGAGATCTCCGGCGCTAACCTTGTCGTGCTTGGCTAAGAATGGCAGCAAGTTGTTAACGCTGTCGTCAATCCCGGCGTTGGCGTCAAAGTTGGGCTCTTTCTACGAATGCATGAGTCTCAAAGTTAAACTGACTGCCACTTTCAGAAATGATCTACCTCGGGGAATAGAAGCATGCTTCCATCCGCACCACCACCACTATACAAATGGCACAGATGTTAGTCCGGCAGCGAGATACAAAATATCACCACCTACGCCAAAGGATTCTTTTGGCTGATCGAAATTGCGTCGTCTGGAAGGAGGGATCAGTTACATGTCGGTCAATATAATCGCTAAACTCGCGGAATGTTAGACGGATGACTTCGTGGGCGTCTTCGCCACACTCATTGTCGAAAAGATTGTTTTGAAGATCCTGGACGAGCTTTATGGTTACGCATTGAGCATGTAAGCAGCAGGGGGGGCAATGGGAGAACACACAGGAATAAATGGACAACAAGCGGCGTCCCCGACATGGGTGCCATCAGGACAAACCGCACCACCAGCCGGGGCAGCGCATACTGAAGCAGAAAGTGCAACAAGAGTGAGCAATGCGGCGAAAACCATCGGAAGAACGGAAAGGAAGATGTGCGAAAGTACTGGTAAATCACCGAAAGCCTCGAGGGTTTTATACCTTCGACCGAACTCCGTTCAAGCAGGATATAGAGTCAGAAGAGCTCGGACTCAGCGCTCGGGGCCTTCATGAGCCGGCAGTCGCCTGGGAGGGCAGGTTTGGCCGGAGTCAGCGATGGCAACAACATTGCCTTTGGTGCGACGAGAGGAATGCCGTGTTTGACAGGATACCCTTGACGCGAGAAAGCATACTACGGCGCAAATGGAGCAGATCTGCGGATAGTGCATCCCGAAGCTTCAAACCATTTTGAGACGCGGCAATAACTAATTGATCTCGACGTCTGATGTTCAAGATCAAACCCCATAGGAATGACCTCCGGCATGGCCCAAAATTCGAATTTTCACCACATCTGCACATTCCTCAGCGTGGCAGGGCTGTAGAGAGTCATTCCTTCATTGAAGGAGTCCTGGTTTCCCCACCACTTCAAGTCTTGGGCCCTGCCGGACATGTGCCGGAGCCATTTCTAAATGGGGTCTTGCAACTAATTTCGCCGCGACTGTACTGGTGGTGTTTAAGATCTTAGGCTTGGCGAAGGCCTGCAGTGCAGAGGGCTGACAGGGGCAACCTTGTAATTCGTCAGTCCCGGCTGCCGCGGGAGTGGAATTGGGCAAAGCTGATACGGAGATTAGGACAGTCCGTTCATTGATACGAAGATCGTCACTCACAGCATCGTTGAATAGCCTCGTGCGGGATCCATTCAAAGCAAATTTAGTGTGTCGCCGCCTTGCTGACCGTTTCAAACTCCTTCCCATGAAGCGGAATGTTGGATGGTGAGGAGTTGTTAATGGCATTGAACGAATTTATTCGCGGAAGCAACCCACTGGAAATGAATACGGACAGACGGGCTGACTGTTGCAAGTTCTGTTTCGGTTCTTGAATCGGGGATCACTGGGAGTGAAGCTCGCAGGTCATTTGGCATGATCTACGCATTCCAGGCCAGGGTGCTACATTATGCATAGCATCAGCCCATTCGGCCTGATACCGTACACCTCGTCCGCAGTGCCATAATTTAAGACCGGGAGTGTCAGACGGGGGTTATTACATGAAGGGTAAAACAGATAGCAAAGTGGCTGCCGCAACTGTTCGTTGCACATCAATTCAGAGACGAGTAGAATATGAAAAAATAGCCAGACCCGGATACGGCAGGCGTCAAAAACATACTCTTCTACTACACGAGTATAGCTTTATGGGGAATAAACGTTGATAAGCCTTCGCATGACCGAAAATATTGGCGACTCACGATATCCGTTGTTTCCTCGGGTCCTCCATTGAGTCAGCAAACAAAGACGCCTCAGGTACATTCTGAGCTGTTTCACCCCAGAGAGGACGCTACACAGCGAGCGGCGGCTGTCACCTATTTAAGGCCGTGTCCCCTTGGTGTCCCCATATCTGAGTGGTGTTTCGCCGATATCAACAGCCGCAACAGTATAGCCAAATCAAGTTTGCATGCCCGTTTCCTTGCTGTTTCGGTCTTTCCAGGCAGAATACTTGGCGCCAGTACAAGGCGAATGGTTTTGTCATGGCTTACCCTAGTTGCAAAGTGGGAGAGCGCCGAGTGTGGTGGTGCCATTGGTGGAATGCAAATGGCAGCCGTCACGTGTACATGTGATGGTAAACTTTGAGGGGTTCGCACGATGCTGGTTTACGAAATGAGAGATCCACAGTCGTAACAAATTGTTAGGGGGCCCCAGGATGCCTTCTGGTCCTCTAGATTATCGTTCCACGGCCGTCTAGTGTTCCATTCCCAGCATAGCTCCAGGAAAACTCCCACAAACATGACCCCTTAGTTCAGTGGTAGAGCGTCGCATTCCAGTCGTTTCTAAACTTCGCGAAGGTCGTCCGTTCAATCCGGGCAGGGGTCAGCCTTTTTTGCTTTCACGAACTCTGTCATGTTTTGTCTGACTCACACATGACTCGGTTAAGCGACACCACCAATGAAACAGGCGAATCCCCATCTGTTATACCGCGTTGTTCATTATGCTCATGCAATTTCACGTTTTTTCTACCTCAGAGTTATCATTCCTCCGCCCTTATCCAATTCTTGAAGTAGTGACCTTGAAGCAACTTTTTGATCGGATTAGTTTTCCGACTTCCCAAGCCTCGAGGTCACCAAACGCCACACATACCACCGTAGCACTTGCTTAAATTTACAAACGCCGGTACTATTTCCCTACGGGCTCGCGAACCAGATTTTCACGTTATTTCAGGCAATGAATTATTTTTATGTTGAACGGCCTCCGAGTCCGAATCCATTGGCATTGCTTGTTGAGGATGGCGGTCTCCTATTTGTTGCAGTTATATGGCGGTCAACGTGGTACTTTATTAAAAGGGGGTAAACAATGTTGATTTGGATATAATGTACCTGTTTTGAGGAAAACAAAATGTGTAAATGACGGAGGAGAAAACATTTTTCCAACCTTCCATATAACACTTCAACTTTTTTTTGTAAGGTAACACTTTCTTTACCTTTTTCTCCCCCATAACTTTCTCGGCATGATCCCGTGGCTGTGCTGATTGGCTTGCGGGCCGATCCATGTTGAAGGTGTGCTACTCCCTCTCTTGGGGCTCCAGTCTGGCTAAAGGACTCCGGGTGGGGGCCTTAGAGCACCATTAGTCATGATGTTGTACTGTCTGAACATTCTCGAAGAAATACATCCTGGTTGCAGAAGTTGGCTCAATTCGGCAGACTTCGGCCCGCGGGCTCCTGGCACAGCCACTCAATGGTGCTGGAAAATGCCGAGGAAGTTATGGTGCTGAAAAAAATCGATGAAGTTTAGACACCAAAAGAAAGTTCAAAAAGTGTTATAGGAAAGTTTTTCTACTCATTGACTTTCCATGTACATTTTGCTCCAAATCACATATATTATGTCGAAATAGAGACATTGTACCCTGTTTTAATAAAGTACCACGTTGACCGCCATACAGTTGCTCGTGGAGTGAGTCCCAACTGCAACTCAAATCTGCTCCCGGACATGTAGCCTTCGCCGTCGTTTGGCGACCGGTCTCAGGCTCCTAATTTAGCTAGAAGTGACTCCACTCACCCTCACCACCCATGAACGGAAACCTGCACTTGGGAGCTATCCCCAAATCTGAATTGAAGACTGAGGGCGGCTCTTCACAGTCCGTGTCCAGTTTCGCCCAGTATAAACTTCATCTCACGTCACCTAAGTACTAGACTCGGAGCCGGATATTCCCCAGCTTTTTTCCCCAATGCCGAGCACTTTGTGCTTACCGGCGGAGAATTCAACATTACAAATGTCAATCATAGCGCTGTGCCTACCCCCGTTGGTATGACTGAAATTCAGCCTACTCGTGATTAAATTTGACGCCAAAAAAACAAAAAAGACTTTCAAATCCTCTCTATGGGGAATCTGGATCTGCGGAACGAATTAAAAGTGGACCGAGGATCCGCTCTGGTAAACCGTAAATGCCTACGGAGTTCTGTCAGACGGATGTATTCTGCCAGGCTTCATGCGTGCAACTCTAGCATGACTGCCGCCATGTACCAAGGGGAAGGCGCTGAAGAGGTGGGTTGACTTCCGTCGCTGGAAAAACTTTAACTTCCTGAGTACTCTCCGCAGGAATGGCAACGGGATATTGCCCAATATTCGCGGTTTCGGTGAGACAGGATGTTTTTTACGTGTCATAATAATAGATAGCATACCAGTCATCCCAATCTTCTCCAATTCTACGGCACAGCGAGCTCGTCTGGTTTGCACGCTGCGATTTTCCATGACGGTTTGAACGGCTCATTCTTGAAGCGAGTTCTGCGCTGAATATGTTACCTAGAGTTGATATCTCCGGAAATAATCCTTAAAAATTACCGCGATTCACATTTCTCCACGGTATATGTCTGGTAGACTCGTGACCAGTCTGCCTACGCCGTTCTAACAAGGCGGGCTTGTTGGCGTAGGCAGACTGGTACTTCTCGGAAGTGTCAATCGAGCTGGGGCGGAGTTTGAAATTTAAGTGGCTTTTTCACAATCTTAATCCGTTTATGCTCAGTTTTTTTACTTATTTTTTGATTGAAGCTGGGATAATAAATAAAAGAATTATCCCTTTCATTTGGCCTCCTTAATTTTGTTCTTTATGGTACAGAACGCCGTAAAATTTGAGGATAGTTTTAGTGGAAATCAACTTCGGACCGTGATCTCCGGAATTGCTGCGGCTCATTGCGTCATTGGTCTTACTCAAGTCAAGACTTAATTTCAAACTCCGCCCCAGCTCGATTGACACTTCCGAGAAGTACCAGTCTGCCTACGCCAACAAGCCCGCCTTGTTAGAACGGCGTAGGCAGACTGGTCACGAGTCTATATGTCTGGGGTTATTTTGTATGTGAATGACATACTGCAGACTGACACACGTTTACATTTACCCCAGACAGACGAATTCAGAGTAGTAATGTGCCAACATCTCTGGGTCACTGTTTTTCTGACACAATCACAGGACGCCGCCGATTATATGAAGTCCACCTTCGGAATAAATCTGGTAAGCTATCCAAATGACTGAAGCATGCGACCCCAATTTTTCCTTGCAGAGCCCTTTGAAATGCACCAAGTGGATACGATCTTCAACCGGTCGCGTCTGCATTGACCTCGTGGCTAATGATGGTGGTCTCGTCCTTTGGAAGTCATTGGACACATCATTTCGGACCGCCGTGTCTCTTTTTGAACGGCAATTGGATTCGGCAATCATTGCTGCCACAGCTTTGGAGGATTACTTTAAGATTTGTTTCCTCTATCTCTCAAAGTCTCGTTCGGTCCCCATTTCAACCCGTAGTTCGGTGTATCCGGGTTTGATAGTTTCTGCTCGTTCGGGCTCAGAAGTCGCACACATTCCGGATTGTCCTTTGCGATACTCTGGTTGGAAGGCGTGGCGGCAACCAGGGCCCAAGGCGCCCAATTTCTTGATTCTGGACAATGGCTGGACACGGTACGTTTCCATTAATATTATCCGCCATACACCGTGCTAATCAATGCATTTCCTGAAGTGTGCACTCCTACAAAATATCTGATGCAAGGATTGTCCAGATTATAGATACTCCGCATCATGCCAAGGTCTGCACCTCGTGGCTCACCCAAGCCAATCATATCTTCAGTCGGAGCAAGATGATCTCAGACTACGAGGATTATTGTGCGTTTGTCTTGCTTGTTTTTTGAACGAAGGAATCATGTTATCCATCAGACTGTGTACAAAGCATAATATGCGAAGTCAAGATCCCACCACCTCGAGGAGTAGCCCTACCTCCGGGTTATCTTTTTCTATGCCCTCTGGATAACCTTCAACCGGATTCCCCGGCATTCATTTGCCGACCGGATTGTATGGGCTATTGGTCACTTGACCCCTCTGGCGTTGAACGCCTGAGCTCTGGGACGGCCGAAGATCTGGGATTTCCAACCTTAGAGCCGACCATGGAGATTGAGGGAAAATCATGGGATGGAGATGTTTATAGTGGCCTCCGCCAATTTCTCCAAGGAAAAGGCCTTGAAGCATATAGCCAAGATGCTGCTCGAGAGCTACGCTATCCGCTTTATGAGGTGTCGGGTGGACTGGCTTTGCTTGCTCATGGTGAGCAGATACGCTATGATATTAAATTTGATTGATGTGCGAGAAGATGCCGGCTGGAGCGACGTTCCTATCAAAAACGCATGTTCAAATGAACCAGCTCACCGGGATTCGTGCGGGCGCATTGAGCGTCTTAAACCCAGCGCGCAAAAATTCTCGCTCGATGAAAGCCCGATAATTCGCGGATTCGATACACCCGAACTACCAGCGCCATCAAGATGGTGGAATATAATTATGTCTGTTCAGCTTGCCCTCATTCTTGCGCTCGGTTTCGACTATCTCTATGATTACTAGCTGTTTCTCTGGTACAATTTCACGAGCTACCCATGTATGTTCGATAGTTATTGATACTGAAAGCCGACGCTCGTGTAAGTCAACATGGGTCTGCTCAAGGGCCGAATAGTGGTGAAGGCAGATGCTGCGACGCCGGTCGTCAGAACATGAAACTAGGAGGACGAGATGCCCATATCAGCATAAGCGTTCGAGCACCGCCGTTGATGATGCATCCGACCGATGCAACAAAGTCGGACGGAGTTGCGTTACATCCATCTTGAGACGACTCGACTTGTATCAAACAATGAGACTCGTGCAAATCGCCATCATGACTCTCCTCAAGCTCAAGTTGGCGCATTCGCCGGCGCAGAGGACAATCTCGTATGCGCCATGGGGCAACGCGGTTGAGACGACTGAACATGGGCGCCCAGGGCCCCAGTAGCCGGCACTGGTACTCCAGTTTTTGAGCCACCGTGAATGTGATGTTTTTGCGTCGAGCGCTGGTAATACAGCGACTTCCTGTGGGGGCTAAGGAGTCAAGATCTATGAGAGCTAGACGGATTATGAACTGTCCGTTCAAGGTAGCCGAGAATGAGCACAATCCTTGACTTTTAGTTATGAACGAATCGGTTGCGTATCGCCAACGTTTGTGGGATTCACACCTTCCGGCAAGAGCTGGGCCTGCAATTGAACAGGACGTAATTCAGATACGTGAACCCAGTACTAGTAGCTTGGGGACGAAAAACTCATACAACGATACAAGCTGTGCGGTCTACTTGCTGCATGGAAAAACTGCAGTCGAGGTGTCAGCGGAATCATCTCCCAGCATAAATTTCATACGGGCCGCGTGTGATGGTATTAATTTCCCCTGCCAACAAATCAATCGACAATTTAGCGGACTCAGGTAAAGACGCTCCGATTGCTCCGTACCTTGTACAGTATAGGCGCAGTTTGGATAATCAAGTAGTGAGCACCCGGGAAAATACGAATAAGAGCTTGGGTTCAGTGGCATTCACGCCTATGT